TAACACTGCGCCGCCGCCGCACGGCGTCCGCTAAATTGCCCTCGAAGAGAGGGAGAGGGACGGCTGAGGGGTGCGAGGGGGTGACGGGGACGAGTGGTAAGGCAGCGGTAGCAGCGGGGCGGTGAGCCGGCGCCAAACGTTGCCCAAGCTCTGTGGTTCCCGACATATGGCGATGTTTTCGGCCAAATCAATGACGAGGATTTTACGTAGCGTTTTTTTGTCGAAGGCGCTTTACAAGAATTGCAAAGTGTCCGCTAGTTATTGGTCGATGGGGAAAAGTGAGTGTTGGGGTGGGGAAGGGATGGCAATGGAGGGTGGTGGTAGGGAAAGAGAGAGGGGGTGAAGTTAGGAAGAGGAAGGATGATATTGGTAGGAATCTCTTCTGGTTCCACCTGCCCACAGGGGATTATTGTGTCCGTCCGTCGTGCATCCAAAAATGGGAGGGGTGGGGCTGGGTGTAGAGGGGAGGGTGGGGAGGGGCTGGGTGGTGAGGGTGGGGCTGGGTGGGGAGGGTCTGGTCACCCCGTGGTGCCCTTATAAAACTCAACGTTTAACCTACTCACGCCGGCTTGTGCCCGCCCTCACAGTCGGGCATATTTGCGGAACACACCACGCCGCCGTTGACCCTGGCCATTGACCGAGCAACCCAACGTTCCTACCAGCTCCCTCCGCAGGACAATGTGTTGAAGGGTGATGATAGGGAGAGGGAGGGCTGGCGAGGTTAGGAAGGGGGGGGGGGGTTGGTTAAGGTTTGAAGGATGCGTGCAGGAAGTGGTAGAAGGGACACGCTATTGAAAAAAGATTATTCTCAAGGGAGGAACAAAAACGAACGATTGAAGTTGGCTGTGTTGACGTGGAGTCGGGAGTTTATTCCAACGGAGGGGAGCGGAAACGTGACTGAGTACAGAGAGGGAGGGGGGGAGGGCATAGTGAGGAACAATGGAGATTGTGAACGCAGGGGCCGAGATGAGAAGCGGAGCACCCTGGGAAAGACTACTGGAGGAATCCGATGAGCTGAGAAGCTCGTGTTCACGGATGTCCAGCAGGGGCACGGGGGAAGAGCGTTTCAACAACAAACGGTACAAAAACACGATAGGAATGCGAAGTACTAGAAAGGTAAAAAAAATCACCCAAACACACACAAACATTGAACCATCCTCGTCCTACCAGGCAAAGCCCACTGAGGTATCAACTTGTTTTTCAGAAGCGACTTGGTCACAAATGATAGCTCAACAAAGTGGCCCATCATTTGGACAGTTATAGCACCAAAATAATCTAAATAACTAAACGCGTGTTTCTAAATGTGGAGGGAAAACCCGGAGGTATAAAATCCACGCGAACACGGAGAGAGAGAGAGACACGCAAACTCCAAATATACAGCAGCAGGCGTCAGGGTTTGGATCGAACCCACGACCTCCTGCATACCAGGCGAGGGAGATCGATGGCATCCACACTCTGCCGGTAATGCCTTCTCCCGCCGAGCCAGAGTACGGGTCCTACTCGACACCCGCTTGATCCGCCAACCCTCGCTACCTCCGTAGTGCTGGGTTTGCAGGCCACGTGCCCAGGCACAACCACCACCACCGCCACCCGGGCTAAGTATCGGATGTGTCACCGTGCCGCTCGTTTTGTCTGTCACGGTAACAGGAAGGGCGCAGCAGAGAATAGCCATGCCGACACGAAGGCCGTCAGGCAGAGGAACAGCAAGTAGACCGCCGTGCCTGACCGCACTCCGCACGACTGGAGGTAAGCGGGGGAGTGGAGCGCCAGGCGTGCAGTGACTCGCTTGCCGGTGATGTGCGATGGCTTTCCACGAATCAGGATTTGAGGTTCAGTTTGGTGTGGCTCAGAGGTGGTGAGGCCCAAGGGGGCACGTGGCTTTGCTGATGAATTTTACGTGGACCGCCTTGCGTGCCGCGTATCCCACGTGTTGGGCGTTGGCGTTGAATTTTATTTTTACACGCTTTCATTTAACTCACTGTCTGTTGTCGTCGTTGTTGTTGTCATTGTATCCTCAAATCTTGTAACTCAATTTTAACCCACTTCCCAATATGGTATCGACTTGGTATACTTATGTCATACTGATGACAATACTATATTCCATCATAAAAAATAAAAAAATATGTATATTTTTAAACAGTCTTTTTTATATGTTATGTTTCGGCTTGGGTCTAATTGTCCACGCTCAACTGACGTTGGCTGTAATTGGCCACGGTCCCTTACATTATGGCAAGCTTCGGGGCCACTTCCTGGAGTCGTGGAGTTCTTCCCATTACTAGGACATTTCATAAAAGCGTGTTTTAAAAAAAGTTTTAAAAAATATTACTTATTTGTAAAGCACTCAGAACCCTGATTGACGTGAGGGCTGCTATGTAAATTACATTGTCTGCATTCCATGCATTTTGTTACTTGTCCTCTCCACAACGACGATCGTGGCTATTTGTGTCGTGCATTGCAGAGTTTTTCGCTGAACCAGGACCCATATCTAACAGAGAGTGAGTCCCTTGCCTAGTAAACATCTGGCAGGTCACCAGCATTAGTTCAAGCGAGCCTCACTCTGCTGCTGCTGCTGATGAGACGCTGGATGTTGCGCCGGTCGAGAGTTTGCTTCAGTTGAACCAAAAAAACAGAAATCACCGCCAGAAGGCCGCGTGGCCGATGGCATGTCTAAAAAACTACTTTTATATATTTTTCGTCACACGCAGGGCCCAGATGTGGGCAAGGAGGCGTGCTGTACGCTTATTTACTTTACGACTTCAACAGGGCCGATAGACCATACTTCACCACGCTGGCCAGCACGGGTCGGTGAAGGGTTGGTGGCGCGCCAGGGCTGGGTTCACAACATCGCTCGCCTCCCTCCCGATGTTGGCCGTGGTTCGGAACTCGAATTCTTTTCGAGCCGCCGTGCTCCTATCGCGCTGCGCTAACCGTGGCGCCGCCGCTCCTTCCCGTTCTTCCTGCGATGGAACCCCATGTGGAGCTGGCGCGATGGGGGCGGCGGCGGCGGCTGCGACGCCCAGTGGAGACGGAGACGGCAGATTTGTTTTTCGAGTTGGGGAAAGAATTTAACGGCGCGGCGCCCCAGAGAGACGGGGATTTGTTTAAAAGATCTAATAACAATGGTAACAGCAGCCGCGCGCACTCTGACCCCCGCCGCCGCTGCTGCTGCCGCTGCAGAGTTTCACTCGGGGCCTTTAAATGCAGACTTTGCCCACGGTGTACCGGCCAGCACCACCGGACTTGCGATCAAGAGGTCGCGGGTTCGATTCCATCTCCCGGGGCGGTGGTTGAAGCGACGAGGCTTATCTTTAAATCCACCTCCCCCTCCACCTCTCCTCCGCCTCTGTCCAACCGGCGGTGTGAATGGGTCCGTGACAGTGAGCCAAGCGGCAGGCCGCGGGCGGCGGGGTTAAAGCGTGGGTGTTGCCGCCTCTTCCGAGTCGTCTGGCCAGCGTGGAAGAGTAGGCCAAATACCCTATGTAGAGAGAGGCTTCATATTCTTAGGTTTTTTTCGGTAAAGTCACGTAGGTAAACATTTAAAATGAATAAAAGTAAAATAAAATAAAAATCACGACGTTTCGGAGGCAACACAAGCTTCCGTCTTCAGGTGGTACCGTCACAGCACGATAGCTGTATCAAGTGAGAGAAATTCCAAGAAACAGTATTTGTATATATACTGGTTGAGGGTGGGAGGAGCCAAGGTAGGCCCTGAATATTATTTTTGTGAGGTTCGGTGCGGCTGAAGCACGCTGTTAGGAATGAGCCTTTGTTGTGTAAACTGGATGCGGATGATGTAAAGGTGCGTGTAAATGGGACTGGGTGATGCGGCTGAAGGCTTCAAATCTAGTATTAGAAAACTCCCCGCCCACCTCCCACGCATTTCACAATTAGCACTGTTCGCATTCCTGCATTTCCCATAAATATGCTAAATTGCTAAATATGCTAAATTCCTCTTCAAATGCAAATTATTTTGTCAAGGCTCTCTTCCTCCTCCCTCACAGCTTAAATAGACACTCCAAGCCTAAGACGTGTCATTTAGACTCTGTCTTATCGACAGACATGTTCTTCACCTGAGGACGGCTGCTTGCGTTGTGGCCGAAACGTCGTGAGAATTATTTTATTATGTTTTATTTTTATTATTTTATTACTTCCCTTCTACGTGACTTTACCGAAAGAACCAAGACGATGAATCCCTGCAGTCACGAAAGCTTTACATCGAAATTTAGAGAGAAGCTCCCGAGAGCTCCCTCTAGTGGAGGCCGCTTCCGCTGGCAGTGGCACGCGCAGGCAGCCGCAGGGCCTGCTCCTTCACCCTCGACCGTGCCGCTACGCCCGTCAACAAACAACATTGGCGGCAGCTGACGCAGGATCCACCCTCGTGTTCCCACGCCGGGGCCAAGATCCGCAAGCTCGCCGTCGGTTTCCTGCGCCGCGTGGTGCCGCTGCCGGCGCAGCTGCAGGCGCGGTCTCTGGCTGTGTGAGCGCGCGTTGTTCCGCGCGTTGTTCCGCGCGATGTCCCCGATGTTTTCTCCGCCACCTGCCAGCTCAAGCCTTCCCGTGCATCGTGTGACTCCCTGTGTGGCCACCCCGAATCCCTCCGCCGCTCTCATGGACACATCTCTGTATCTCCATGTGAAACTAGCTGAGGCCTCCCGTAACTCGCGTGACTTCAGTGAGTGGCCACCCCCACTCTGAGCCCCTCACGTCACCGCTCACTTGCCGTGCAAAATATATCCATTATTGCGCCCCCTCCCCCCCCCCCCAAATACAAAAGTCGATTTACGTTTTGCATTGTGTACAGACTGGAAGCTACTCACATGCCAAATTTCAAGTTTGTTGCATGTTGGGAAGTATGCTAAACATTTCAAACAGTCACACACATTCACAAATTTCCCTTATATATATAGATACCCCATGCCTTTACAGGGGCCATTTGAAGAAGGGTTCTCGGTGCTAGCTCTGTGATATCCGCTTCTGCGCGCCATCCTCTAACACAGCAGTGACTCACTCGTCGGCGATTGCTCTCAATAAAAACGTCTCTCTATCTAAACCAGCTCAAGCCTCCCGCGAACCACGTGACTTCTGTGAGTGGCCACCCCCACTCCGAGCCCCTCCCCCTCGCCCCGCCCACTGTGAGAACAGACGCCGCTCCGTGCAGCAGCAGCACTAGCAGCGAGTCCCTGACGCAGCCCTCTTCTCTCTCTCCTCGTCTCTCCTGGCCCTGTGCTCCCGTTCCTCCGCTCTTTCCCCATCCTCTTCCTCACATTCCCCATTCCTCTCCTCCTGCTGCTGCTCGTTGATTATAAGACTTGACTCCCAATGTTTGTTGTAACGTTCTTACCCGCCCCTTACTGGACATCTGTGAAGAAGAGCTTTACAAATCATCGGATTCCTCCAGCACGAAAACATTTCTGCTTCTTCTCTGTTTTTGTTGCAGCAACATGCGGGCCAGGCAAATCACACCGGGAGATTCCGACAACAGGATGCAATGCACTCTCTGGTTCTCTTTCATGTGGTCCAGCTGCGCCGTAATGGACGATGTCTCCTGATTTGAAGGTTTCGTGGCTGCAGGAATCCATACTCTTGGGTTCTTTCGGTAAAGTCACGTAGGTAGAGCAATAAAGAATAAATCACGACGTTTCGATCGCAACACAAGCAATCGTCATTAGGTAGAAAGATACAGCAGTAGAAGTGTTCAGTTCAGATCGAAACGTCGTGATTTAGTATTTATTTTTCCACCAACGTGACTTTACCGAAAGAACCAAAGAGTATGGATTCCTGCAGCCACGAAAACTTCAAATCAGGAGACAACATCCATTCCGGCGAAGCTGGAGCACATGAAAGAGCCAGAACGAAGGGGGGTAGCCCCCCCCTCTGCCCCAAGCCGGGAACTTCTCCTTGAATTTAATATTCGGTTCCTGAAGAAGGTCCCCATCACTTGGAGCGAAACGTCGGACGTCGCGCCGAACGACGCGCGGGAAACGCGGGAGTGTTTTTGTGTGTTCTCACACGGTCGTGATCTTCCCTGCAGGACGTCCCAGCGGGAGATGGAAGGTGCGGAAACGGAAACAGACACCGGCCGTTCTTCGCCTACTTAGTGCATATAGTCTTCCCGACATCATCATGATCATCGTCGTCACCATCAGCCGTGGTCTATCCGCCGCTAGAGATGAAGGCTCTCCTCCCCGTGCCGTCGTCACACAATCTCCCGCGGTGTCGATATTTCCGCCACCCGTTTTTCTCCCTCGCGTGTGCGCGCCGATTTCATCGTCCGACCCTCCGCTGCGGTCGCCCTCCGACCGAGTGGCGCTGTTTTTCCTCCCGTCTCGCCCGTCGGCCGCCATCCCATCGCAGTTGACGCGTCCTGCCCAAGCCCGCTTACTTTTCCCACCGGCCCGTGCGACGTTTGTTGCCCGTAGCCCCGCGCGTCCGATTAGCCCGGTTGGCCACGTACGGTGCGAAAGATTCTTCTTGGTTCTTTCGGTAAAGTCACGTAGAAGGGAAATAATGTCTCAGACACTGTCTTTCCGACAGACCTGTTCTTCACCTGAGGACGGCTGCTTGCGTTGTGGCCGAAACGTGGTGAGAATTATTTTATTATGTTTTATTATTTTATTATTTCCATTCTACGTGACTTTACTGAAAGAACCAATAAGATGAATCCCTGCAGTCACGAAAGCTTTAAATCGAAGGTGCGAAAGAAGTTGAGCACACGTACACTGTGCGCGTTCACAATGACCACCAATGGGGATGAAAGTCACCTCCCCGCTTCTCTCTGTCTCTTGCTGTAAATCCAGAGCGTGCGCCTCACTGCTTTGCACACTTTTCAGCTCCCGCTTGGTCTTTTTTTCTGTCCGTGTCCCCGTGCATCCGATCGGAGGCACAGGGACACGGATAGCACTGAGGAACGTGAACTGCAGGTTGCTGACAGAACAAGAATGTATAAGGGACGCGTCTTCTTGGAAGGTTGTGTTTGTCAAAGCGCAGGGCATTACCGTCCCGCAAATACGTACACACGCGTACCACTCGTCATTTACATATCATCGTCATCATCGGCCATGGTCAGTCCACTGCTGGATGAAGGCCTATCCACGCCGTCTGCATCCATCATGTTTTCGCGACGCCGCAATCCATCTCGAGCTGATCTTGTCATTCCATCTCCGCTTTGGGGCGTCCTCGCCAGCAATTATGGACCTGGCTGGAGGGGGGGGGGGCATTCATCCCCATTGGTGGCTCTTGTGAAAATTCCACATTCCTATGACTGGGGCCAGTCCACCGAAAATACAACCACGGTTAGCTTACCCGCAAAGCGGTACCTATTTTAACCGCCCTGGAGGGATGATGACCGATGCAATGAAATGAATACCAGCCAGGTCTTAAACAATGTGTGTGTGTATGTGTGTGTGCTTAGATGCATTAAGAATAGAACCCCCGTAGCCTTATAGAGTATTGGGGGTAAGTGTTGTTAGCGAGCACCTATTAACGCCAGCACGGCGATCGAGCGGCTGGTGTGGTGACAATCACGCCCCACCGCCTTTGTCTTCCCATTTATGGTGCTTGCTCATTTGAGGCTGAGTCGACCTAGCGGAGGCCCGGGACGCTTTTAGATATTCATCACCGACGTTGGCCGGGTTCGTAGCGCAGCGCGCTAACTGCTGCACCACCGCTCCTCAGCACACGCAGATACCGTGTCACATATGCACGCGCGCACACTTGCACCGATGCACAGGCAATTGTAGAAAAAAAAATGCAGATATTTACATGCACACGTATATAGCAATGAGAATAGTTGTAAAAAAAAAGCATGCGTCAGATAACTATGCATTGTTACGAGATAAATTATACAAGCTGCTGTGTAACTTAGGGATTCGCCACCAATCCTGCAATTCGTAATGAGTTTCTTATCGGGTCGCAGTGTCTCAGTGTTTCACGATAACCCTCCACCACCTCGCGGCAGAGGCAGCCGGATCAAGGTTGCCCCGTGGAGTGCGAAGAGCGTCGCTTGGTGCGGTTCATCGGCGAGTCGGGCGGGTGTTGGATAAAGGCCAAAAGCTAAAACATTAACGATTTGCACCATTGGAACCTCCTTTGCCAGTAGCAAATTATGATAATTGTTTTTTTACCCTTTTATCTGGCAACAAAACTGACACCTTTTTTTACAAGGAGTCATGTTTGCATTGACCACAATACCTACGGTCGGAATGCAAACAAAAACACAACTCTGATAATCTTCTTGGTTCTTTCGGTAAAGTCACGTAGAATGGAAATAATAAAATAAATAAAATAAAACATTAAATATATTCTTATTTTATTTTATTATGTTTTTATTTTTATATTTTATTATTTCCCCTTACGTGACTTTACCGAAAGAACCAAGAAGATGAATCCCTGCAGTCACGAAAGCTTTAAATCGAAATTTAACTCGGATAATGTATGCACTGTCCTTGAAGTTGATTGGTCCACCCCTGAGACAGCTTTCCTTAGAGCCTAGTTTCACATGGTGTTGGACCAGATGACGCCAAAAGGCGCAATCAATTTCAAGGACAGTGCATACATTATCAAGTTGTGTTTTTTGTTTGCATTCCGACCGCAGGTATTGTGGTCAATGCAAACATGATTCCTTGTAAAAAAGGTGTCAGTTTTGTTGCCCGATAAAAGGGTAAAAATCTAATTATCATTAACGATTTGGTTGGAGGTTAAGCCGAGCAGAAGCTCAGGCAGCTTCCGCTAGCACCGGTGATGCTGGCTGTCATCTCCAGCGAAGCGTTTTAGTTTATATGTGTAAATAAAAATTGTCGAAATGTTGTTCGCCTTTTAACAACGCTACGGTTTTGCTGGTAAACCGAATCGATTGGTTGTGTCAGCCGTCTGGTGGTGCGGTGCAGATAACAGCTGGCGCCACGGTGGCTAGGAGATGTTAACTATCTCGCCTGGTATACAGGAGGTCGTGGGTTCGATCCCGACCCTGACGCCTGAATTATTTGGAGTTTGCGTGTCTCTCTCTCACCGTGGTCGCGTGGATTATTCTCCGGGGCCTCCGGTTTGCCCCTCCACGTTTAGAATCAACATGCGTTTATAGAGTATTTGGTTGCTATAAATGTCCACACGATGATGAGCCACTTCGTTGAGCTATCTTTGTGATAGCCAGGAGCTATATCGCTCCGTGGGCATAAATCTGGCAAAATAAACATCTATTTTTTAAAATAGCTTGGTGATGTTGGGGCCTTTTGTGCCTGGGAGCGAGTGCTCAGCCTGGCCTGTTTGCTGTTCAACTGTTACGTACCAATGTTTAAGACGTGAAAATGTGTGTTTCAAAAAGAAAAATGAAGCCACGTGCTGTTTCCGCTTCCAGTAGTGCTGTTTGTTGCTGGCTGCCTGCCTGGTGTCGCGAGATTATGGTGGCAGCTCGGTCACCACGAGCTGCTGAAAATCCCAGAATGTAAAATTCTCTTGCGCATTGCATTTGGTGAAATGTCAGCTCTGAGAATAAAAAAATGACATCAGTTTAACCGTCACGCGACGAAAATATCTCACAAGTGGATGGGGGGCGGTGTGGTGGTGATAGTGCTGCTCGCCACTGTGCCTGTGGAACAGAGGAGACTTTACGAAAGAGAAGAAGATAAATAAGGCATCTCGGAGGTAACTCTGTGATCTCCACTTCTGCAGGGCCGTTCTCGAATAACGCCCAAGGGTTGCACTCCTGCGTGCACACTCGGATTTTAAATTCGTGGGAAACCTGAAATGTTGTCGTTTTAGAAACTTGTTTGCCAAGTCGTAAAGTATTCTTAGGTTTTTTCGGTAAAGTCACGTAGGTAAAACATTAAAATTAATAAAAGTAAAATAAAATAAAAATCACGACGTTTCGGAGGCAACACAAGCCTCCGTCTTCAGGTGGAACCGTCACAGCCACGACAGGAATATGAATCCTTGCAGTCACGAAAGCTTCAAATCAAGCCGTAAAGTGTCACCCACCCCACTTCTTTTATTTCCGCCGATTGAAACGATCCGGACAGGTAACAGCGGAGCACCGCTCTCTTCGTGCGCACGATGGCAGTAGCAGTAGCAGAAGCAGCAGCAGCAGCAATGTGTTCAGGAATCGAATGTCAATGTCGAGTTCTTCCAGCCGCGACGAGATGGCTTCAGTAGAGAGAGAGAGAGACCGTTGCCGCCTTGATTATTCCTCCAATTTGAATGAGCGCAGACAACAGCGGGTCACGATATGCTCCACATCATTAATGCACTGGAATCGAATTTCTCTTTGTCGTCCATCGTAATTGTGTCGCATCTGAATGTATTCTAACAACGGTGATAGCGATGTCCGGTGTCTTGTGTGTTGCAAACAAAATAAAATAATACGTCCCACGTGATTTCGGCTTGTACCGTGATGTGTTCGACGTTTCGCCGCCACGCGCTGGGAGCTTCTTCAGGAACTGAAGACATCACAGCGGAGAGCCAGACAGCGCAACGGCGAAAATAAACTTCTTCTTGGTTCTTTCGGTAAAGTCACGTAGAATGGAAATAATAAAATAATAAAAGAAAACAATAAAATATTCTCACGACGTTTCGGCCACAACGCAAGCAGCCGTCCTCAGGTGAAGACCAGGTCTGTCGGGGAGATAGCGTCTGCAGTCACGAAAGCTTTAAATCGGAAAATAAAATTTCGCAGTAAAATAAAACTGCGTTCAGCAATTTAAACAAAATTTAATTTTTGTCTATTTGGTTGTCGTTGTTGGGGGTTGGGTTTTCAGCTGTGCAATAGGCGATGAATCGAACAAAGCCGGCCACCGCATCGCGCGCTTTCGGATGCGCTTTTGCGGGCCGTCTGGAACGCTCTTGCTTCCGATATTAGGAAGCCACTGGGGCTGTGCACTTTCAAATCATCATCTGATAAACTAATTTATTTAAAACGGATTTTAGTGTTTAGTGTGTTGTCCTTCCCCCGCACCTCCGATTAGCACGGTTGGCTACGTACGGTGCGAAGGAAGTTCAACATACACGTACAAGGAAGCGATGATGGTTGTGGTGACTTGGGCTGCCACGTGGATTTTTACAATGTTTAAAGCCAAACAAGTTTTGATAAAACAGTCATTCGAGGAAATGTGCAGAGGACCTGTTTAGATGGATGGTGGTTTTGGTGACAGTTTAGCGACCAATACCAGGGACGGTTATCTGAACCGGTGTTGGGCCTCCCTTAGGTAGACTCGGCCTCAAATGAGTACGTGGTGCAGTGTGTGGTAAACATCGCTGCTCAGGAGACAAAGGCGGCCCGGCGTGGTGCTGGGCACCCCCCCCCCCCTCGTGTATTGTTCTCGCCTTCATAGGTGCTCGCTAACAACACGTGCCCCAACAGTCTGTTCGGGCTATGTGGGGGATGTTTGTCTTTGTACGTGTGTGTGTACGTGTGTGTGTGTACGTGTGGGGCTTGCGGAGCCCCAATGCGGTTTCAGGAAAGGGCGGTCCTGCACAGATGCCATAGTTTCTGTCCGTCTGCTACAGCAGAGGTGTAGGGAATTCCAACAAGACCTACATCTCTGCTTTATTGACCTGGTCAAGGCCTATGATACCATCAGTAGGACTGGGCTCTGGGTTGTTCTTCGTGCTTTTGGAGTCCCTGACCCTCTGCTCACGATCATTAAGGACCTTCATGATGGTGAGCGGGCCCGGGTAAAACTACGTGGCCGGGAGTCGGAGCCTTTCCCTGTACACCTTGGGGTGCGACAGGGATGTCCTCTGACTCCCACATTATTTAACATCTATTTTGACCGCGTAGTTCGTGAAGCCTTCAATAGCTGTACCGGGGGAATTTTCATTTGATACAGATATAATGGGAGGCTGATCTATGCCCGGGTGCGATCAAGGGATGGCTTCCTATTGGTCAACCACGTTTTGTATGCCGATGATTTGGTAATAGCTGCTCATTCAGAGGAGTTGAAGATGCTGCTGTTGAGACTGGAGTGTGCCACTAAGAAGTGGGGCCTTACCATCAGCCCCACCAAAACTAAGCACCTGGACTTGCCGATGACCGTTACCAGCGGTGTCAAGATCTCTGTGGAGGAGGCTCGTGAAGGACGCTACTGGGCAGTTGGAGGCAGTCGCCCTCCAACAACAACGGAGGGCGGAGGAGCGACGCTCACAACAACGAGCGGAGCGCCGGGTGGCTAAAGCACAGCAAGTTGGCACAGTAGGGGGCACAGGTGGTGCATCAGCCAGTCATCTCGGTCATCTCGGTCAGTCGACCCGTGGCACCTGCTGGGTCTGCCCCGTGACCTCCTGCCAGCGGGCGTTCGACACTTCACGTGGCCTCAAGGTGCACTTGGCCTGGCACAAGCATCGTGGTGACGTCACCGCCACTTAGTGGCGAATGGCGGTTGTTGTTGTTGTACGTGTATGTGTGTACGTGTGTGTGTACGTGTGTGTGTACGTGTGTGTGTGTACGTGTGTGTGTACATGTGTATGTGTACGTGTGTGTGTGTACGTGTGTGTACGTGTATGTGTGTACGTGTGTGTACGTGTGTGTGTACGTGCGTGTGTGTGTGCGTGTGTGTACGTGTGTGTGTGTACGTGTGTGTACGTGTGTGTGTGTACTTGTGCCACAGTGCCGGCCTTCGTAGGTGCTTGCTATTCGCTAACAGCACTTGCCCCAACAGTCTGTGAAGACTACACGGAGGGAGAGCGGGTGGGGGGTGGATCTTTGTCAATGTTTTTATTTTGACACCGTGGATCGGAGGTTCCCTCTGCTGCCACGAGGTGGCGTCACGCCACCTCGGTACCAGCTGGGCCTCCTCCGACCATAAATGACGTCACGCACCTGGTGGGGGATCAGACATTTGTGACGATGTGTGACGATGGGGGGGGGGGGGGGGGGGTGAGAAATGTGACGTCACATCAAAATGCACAACTTTAAATAAATATAGACAACACGTTCTGCTTAATGAAATATACTTTTTGATAAATGTTTTCTCCTACAACATCAGAGTGCAGCGCCACATTAAATACGCACTACAATGACAATAGTTTAAAGCGATTTGAAGCATGTTTTATTTTAGGGGGGGGCAGAGCTTTGTGACGTCATATTTTTTGTCATTTATGGACGGCCCCTTACCTTCAAGCGGCGATCAAGAGGGGCCTCCAGACAGCTGGGTTCTATCCCAGGGCATCTCAAGTGTCCAAGAACAAGCGAGGCCTTTGATTGATTTACAACATCACCAAACTTTTACCGAATTCACCGGATTATCAGACGCACCCCGAAAACTTGCCAATAAAGTCTGTAGACGAAAATGTACGGTGTGTACAATCGATAATCGATTGTCAGAGGTGGTCCCGGGTCGATTCAAAGGCTGTCAACCAGTCCGGCGATCAGCACCGTGTGCATGCCAACACAAAGTAGCTCCACTTGAATTTCGATTTAAAACAGGTCTTCTCGACAGACCTGTTCTCCACCGGAGGACGGCTGCTTGCGTTGTGGCCGAAACGTCGTGATAATTATTTTATGATGTTTTATTTTTATTATTTTATTATTTCCATTCTACGTGACTTTACCGAAAGAACCAAGAAGATAGCTCCGCTTGATTTCAATGTCCAATTCGACACAGCTCCCGATCACCGCTCTATGCGGAGTCGTCGAGATTGGGAGTGGTAACTTCGCTGCAGCGAAACGCGGCATCTGTTCGTTTATTTTACGGCAATTTCACGGAGCGAACACATTTAAACAAGCAAAAACAACGTTTACACACACAACCCCTAAAAACATAACGTTGCTATTTTAAATAATGATTGTTAGTGATTAATTACCCGGCGCCCCCCCCCCCCCTGCCGGAAAATCCACAATCGATTGCATTTTAAACTTCTTTTGCACCGTACGTAACCAATTGGAGGTGCGGGGATGGACTCCACACAGTGCCTCAATAACATTGCACATTCAAATTGGACAATCGATACCACATGGGGGGGCTCTTTCCCTCTCTCCGGGGTCAACTGCACACGTGTTCCCAGAAGCCACGGCGATGGGAGTTGAGTTTGGGGGGAATTGGCCCTTCTGCTATTCTGTAGGGTCATTGCCCGAACCGTCGCCTATTGCTGGTGAGGTTTCGATTTAAAGCTTTCGTGACTGCAGGGATTCATCTTCTTGGTTCTTTCGGTAAAGTCACGTAGAAGGGAAATAGTAAAATAATAAAAATAAAACATAAATATATGATTTTATGACATTATTATATGATAAAATGGTGCCATATTTATTTTATTATTTTTTATTATTTTATTATTTCCCTTCTACGTGACTTTACCGAAAGAACCAAGAAGATGAATCCCTGCAGTCACGAAAGCTTTAAATCGAAATTTAATTCTCACGACGTTTCGGCCACAACGCAAGCAGCCGTTCTCCCTTCTACGTGACTTTACCGAAAGAACCAAGAAGATGCTGGTAAGGTGTTTATATTTTTTTCCCTATTTTGAGTAGTCTTGATTTACAAATGTATTGACTTTCAATTTCTATTTTATCTCAACTAGTTTTTATTGCCGTTTAACTCGAGGTGCCGTTCCGTGGCTCGCCGCCAGGAGGAAGCGGTAGAGCAAGTGGACAAAATCGTCATCTGTTTCCATCTGTACGGGGGCGTCGAGTGCTGTTACCCCCTCGTGGGATATTCCCCGGGTGCCCCCGTGTCATCCCACGCGTACAATGAAACAGCCCTCGTGAATTAGCCGAAACGCACACAATCAGAACCGAATATAGCATCAGCAGCAAGCAGCAAGACCTTCCTGAAAACGATTCATACGACTCATTTGGACTCTCCGGGATTACAAGACATCAACAACAACAACAACAACAAAAGTCACGATTATTCTAACACGACACCAACTCGACTCGTGTTTGCTACGGCGTGTAGCCACCGCGCGTTGACAACGATTGCAGTGGGTTTAACCCCCTGCTGCTGTTTGTCTCCAACCTCTTGATGGGTCGCACACACGCGGTGCGTCAGGGAGGTACATCGCATCGTCTGAAATGACCTTGCTTTTATTTGTTACTGCTGCTGCTGCTGCCACTGCTGCCGCCACTGCTGCTGCGTCTACTCTGCTGTTGCTGCTGTGTGCTGATATTGTTGTTGCTACTGCTGCTGCTGTCACTGCTGCTGCTGCTACTGATGCTGCTACTGCTGCGTCTACTCTGCTGTTGTTGCAGCTACTGCTATTGCTGCTGCTGCTGTAGCTGCTGCTGCTGTAGCTGCTGCTGCGTCTACTCTGCTGCTATTGCTGCTGCTATTGCTGCTGCTGTAGCTGCTGCTGCTGCCGCCACTGCTGCTGCTGCTGTTGTTGCTGCTGTCTGCTCATATTGATGTTGCTACTGCTGCTGTAACTGCTGCTGTAGCTGCTGCTGCCACTGCTGCTGCTGCGTCTACTCTGCTGTTGCTGTTATTGCTGCTGTAACTGCTGCTGCTGTAGCTGCTGCTGCTGCGTCTACTCTGCTGTTGCTGTTGTTGCTGCTGCTGTTTGCTGAAATTGCTGTTGCTAATTCTGCTCTTGCCGCTACAATTACCGCTGCTACCCCTGCTATCTGTTGCTATTGTTCGATGCTGCTAGTGATGTTGACTCAGTAGCAGCAGCAGCAAATTAGTCAATTAGGATTACACATCGCTACATTGTCACCCCCCCTCACCCCCCTTGCAGTGAATTACTGGCAGCACTGCCCTCCCTGTTTAACACGTTGTAGTAGGCTTTCGCGACCAATATTATCCATAATGAAAGGTTTTTGGGTTAGATCGCGTAAATATAATTGGGTCATTAAACCCGCCACAGCCAATTATTAGTGAAATTTGTCACGTTAACAGAACGTGCCAATTCGTTGCTAGTACAGCACACCGGTCTGTTGGAGAGTCAACCCACGGCATTTACAATTGTACATGTTTTCAAACCCACATTTTACAATTGTACATTTACAATTGTACAATTGTGCATTTACAATTGACAATTGTACATTTACAATGATACAATTGTAAATTTACAAATGTACAATTGTACATTTAAAATTGTACAATCTACAATTGTACATTTGTATCTACAATTGTACATTTGTACATTGTACAATTGTACAATGTAAATGTACATTCGCACAATTGTTAAAGTCGTGTGTTTGAAATCCCTTTCTTGACAACGAGTCAAGAGCTTTCCCTCAAGGCGCAGTGAGGAGAATAATAACAACAACAACAACAGCGGCTGTAGACAGACGGCAACACACACACACACACTGCAATGCCGTCCGCTCAACACGCGCGCGAGACGAGTTTTTTGACGAACGAGTGAGCAGATCGGCGGGCAGTGTCAGGGAGGGAGTGAGGCGCCTACCATGGACAGCTCCTCCGGCAGCGCGCAGACTCACTCCTCTGCACTGCGGTAACCCCCGCGCTAGGAACCACTCCGGGTACACGGCGTCCCCTGTCAAGGCAACTTCAACCACCTCCGCGTGACATTGTCCCGGGTTCGCCACCACGAGATACTTACCGCCACCGCCTCCGTTGTCGTCAGCAGGAGCAGCAGCAGCAGCAGAAGCAGCAGTAGCAGCAGCAGTAGCAGCAGCAGTAGCAGCAGTAGCAGCAGTAGCAGCAGCAGTAGCAGCAGAAGCAGCAGTAGCAGCAGTAGCAGCAGCAGTAGCAGCAGCAGCAGTAGCAGCAGCAGTAGCAGCAGCAGCAGTAGCAGCAGCAGCAGCAGCAGCAGTAGTAGCAGCAACAGCAGTAGCAGCAGTAGCAGCAGCAGCAGTAGCAGCAGCAGTAGCAGCGGCAGCAGCAGCGGTAGCAGCAGCAGTAACAGCAGCAGTAGCAGCAGAAGCAGCAGCAGCAGTAGCAGCAGCAGCAGTAGCAGCAGCAACAGTAGCAGCAGCAGCAGTAGCAGCAGCAGTAGCAGCAGTACCAGCAGTAGCAGCAGCAGTAGCAGCAGAAGCAGCAGTAGCAGCAGTAGCAGCAGCAGTAGCAGCAGCAGTAGCAGCAGCAGCAGTAGCAGCAGCAGCAGCAGCAGTAGTAGCAGCAACAGCAGTAGCAGCAGTAGCAGCAGCAGCAGTAGCAGCAGCAGTAGCAGCGGCAGCAGCAGCGGTAGCAGCAGCAGTAACAGCAGCAGTAGCAGCAGAAGCAGCAGCAGCAGTAGCAGCAGCAGCAGTAGCAGCAGCAGTAGCAGCAGCAGTAGCAGCAGCAGCAGAAGCAGCAGTAGCAGCAGCAGTAGCAGCAGCAGTAGCAGCAGCAGTAGCAGTAGCAGCAGTAGCAGCAGCAGTAGCAGCAACAGTAGCAGCAGTAGCAGCAGCAGTAGCAGCAGTAGCAGCAGCAACAGCAGCAGTAGCAGCAGCAGTAGTAGCAGCAACAGCAGTAGCAGCAGCAGCAGCAACAGCAGCAGCAGCAGTAGCAGCAGCAGCAGCCATTATTCTCTCTCGCTTCATTGTGCTTGCTTTGCTCGTGTCGGTGAGCCAGGCGAGTCGGCTCTTGCACACAAGACTGACTTCATCCAGGTCTCCCGCAGTTCTCATCTTGCTGAAAGAAAATAAACTTCATACTCTTTGGTTCTTTCGGTAAAGTCATGTAAGCTTCAAATGAAGCTTCAAATAAAATAAAAAAAACTTCACTTGACTGGAGTCATCGACCGCCATTCGCCAAGTGGCGGTGACGTCACCACGGCGCCTCTGTGCCAGGCTAAGTGCACTTTAAGGCCACGTGAAGTGTCGAGCGCCCGCTGGCAGGAGGTCACGGGACAGACCCAGGTGCCATGGGTTGACTGACTCAGATGACTGGCCGATGCACCACTTGTGCCCCCTACTATGCTAACTTGTTGTGTTTAGCAACTCACCCTGCACTCACTCACAAACTCACTTACTCACCCAGTCACCCACCAACTCACCCACCCACTCACTCACTCACCCACCGACTCATTCATCCACCCACCCATCCACTCACTCACTCACTCACCTACCCATCCACTCACTCATCCACCCACTCATCCACTCACCCACCCACTCATTCACTCACCCACTCACTCACCTACTGATCCACTCATTCACTCACCCACTCACCCGCTCACTCACAAACTGACTCACCCACTCACTCGCCCACTAAATGAAGTAACTCTTGCAAATTAGGACTCATCCTGATCTACTGACGTTCTCACCTGGTTAAACAAAACCAGCTTGAGACTTGCCAAGACATCACCACTGCTGGATGGAGGCCCTCCACCCGAACCGTCGCAACAACAACAACAGCAGCAATCTTCCCAGCTCCTGTCACACGAGCTGTGGATTTCATCGCTCAATTTCTTGCCGCTCGAAATCCCGAATTCGGCCAGTTGCAGGGCTGTGCCTCTAACTTGGCGCATTTATCTTCATCATCAACAGCAGCCATTGTCTATCCACAGCTGGATGAAGACCCTTTTTTCCGTGCCATCGCCATCCCTCACTGCCCAGTGCTGCAGCAGCAACTCACAGACTCGCCCTGTCTCCACAGCGGTCACCAGTCTCGTTCATTTCGTCACCAGTCACGTCCATCAGAAAGTCTCTCGCATACACACACGTGTACGTATCTCTCACATACACACGTGTACGTATCTCTCACATACACACACGTGTACGTATCTCTCACATACACACACGTGTACGTATCTCTCACATACATACACACACGTGTACGTATCTCTCACATACATACACACACGTGTACGTATCTCTCACATACACACACGTGTACGTATCTCTCACATACACACACGTGTACGTATCTCTCACATACACACACGTGTACGTATCTCTCACATACACACACGTGTACGTATCTCTCGTATACACACACGAACGCATCTCTCACATACACACACGTGTACGTATCTCTCACATACACACACGTGTACGTATCTCTCACATACACACACGTGTACGTATCTCTCACATACATACACACACGTGTACGTATCTCTCACATACATACACACACGTGTACGTATCTCTCACATACACACACGTGTACGTATCTCTCACATACACACACGTGTACGTATCTCTCACATACACACACGTGTACGTATCTCTCACATACACACACGTGTACGTATCTCTCGTATACACACACGAACGCATCTCTCACATACACACACGTGTACGTATCTCTCACATACACACACGTGTACGTATCTCTCACATACACACACGTGTACGTATCTCTCACATACATACACACACGTGTACGTATCTCTCACATACATACACACACGTGTACGTATCTCTCACATACACACATGTGTACGTATCTCTCACATACATACACACACGTGTACGTATCTCTCACATACACACACGTGTACGTATCTCTCACATACACACACGTGTACGTATCTCTCACATACACACCCGTGTACGTATCTCTCGCATACACACGTGTACGTATCTCTCACATACACACACGTGTACGTATCTCTCACATACACACACGTGTACGTATCTCTCACATACATACACACACGTGTACGTATCTCTCACATACACACAAACGTACGTATCTCTCACATACACACACGTGTACGTATCTCTCACATACATATAAGACATGTTCGCATTATTCAGCCTTGGCGGCTGATGCCGAGCGTTGCTGTGAATCGCTCCGCACGAAGCAATGTTTCACCTCCAGCTTTAATTCACACCGTTTCATCGACGCCTTGAGATTAATTTCCAATTAAATCCGCTACAAATTCACGGCGCGTCTCTAATTGTACCTGTGGGAGTGGGAAGGAGGGGGGGTGGGGGGGGGGCTGGTGGGTTCTAGATTAAGCTGCACTCTTTGCGAGAATGTTTGAAGGTGACGTGAAGTGAATGAATTGAACTCGTAATTTCCCAGGCGCAGCGAGTCCTCGTTTGTCCCCATCGGCGCTAGCGACCCAGTCACGCCGCTAGCGCTGGCGAGCGATGTCTCCACGGCAGATGCGTGCCGTTATCTAGGAGGGGTTTTGCGCAGCCATCTCAGGACGTGTGTCGACTCGGTCAACCAGACACTGCGACTCTTTCGTTTCAACCGCCACACCGTAGATCACAACAAAAGGCTCACTCATCCACTCACACACTCATCCACTCACTCACACACTTACTCACACACTTACTCACTCACTCACCACACTGCAGGTCACAACAACACACTCACTCACACACTCACCCACCCACTCACACACTCACTCACTCACATACTCACACACTCACTCACCCACTCACTCACTCACTCACACACTCACCACACTGCAGGTCACAACAACACACTCACTCACACATTCACACACCCACTCACTCACCCACTCACACACTCACCACACTGCAGATCACAACAAAACGCTCGCTCATCCGCTCACTCACTCACTCACACTCACTCACACACTCACTCACACTCACTCACACACTCACCACACTGCAGGTCACAACAACACACTCACTCACACACTCACTCACCCACTCACTCACACACTCACTCACTCACACACTCACACACTCACCCACTCACTCACTCACACACTCACACACTCACCCACTCACTCACACACACACTCACTCACTCACACACTCACTCACCACACTGCAGGTCACAACAACACACTCACTCACACACTCACCCACCCACTCACACACTCACTCACCCACTCACCCACTCACTCACCACACTGCAGATCACAACAACACACTCACTCAACCACTCACTCACCACACTGCAGGTTACAACAACACACTCACTCGCTCACCCCGCACCTTCGATTAGCACGGTTGGTTACGTACGGTACAAAAGAAGTTCAACACGCATTCACACACTCACACGCTCACCGCACTGCAGGTGGGGCGGGGATCAAACCCCCGTCGCCGGGGCTCGTGGCAGAGTGCGCTAACCACTCGCGCCGCCGCTCCCGCTGTGTTTGCAAATGACCGGTTCGGGTGTTGGCAATTAGTGAATTGAAACGTTCGCGTGTGAAGAATGTTGCTGAGAAGGTGCGAAAGTCGACTTTGAAATTCCTGTGACTGCATTCCTTTAATGAGCATCCCTCCAGAATATACACGTGGGGAGAAGAGGTCCTAATGGGATCTCGACTCTCATGGGGGTCCCGGTAGGACTCTCATGGTAAGTCTCAATGGGATCACGACTATAAAGGGGGTCCCAATAGGATGTCGACTCTCATGGGGGTCCCAATAGGATTCCGACTCTCATTTGGGTCCCAATAGGATTTCGACTCTCATGGGGGTCCCAATAGTATTTCGACTCTCATGGGGGTCCCAATAGGATTTCGACTCTCATGGGGGTCCCAATAGGATTTCGACTCTCATGGTGGTCCCAATAGGATTTCGACTCTCATGGGGGTCCCAATAGGATTTCGACTCTCATGGGGGTCCCAATAGGATATCGACTCTCATGGGGGTCCCAATAGGATTCCGACTCTCATGGGGGTCCCAATAGGATTTCGACTCTCATGGGGGTCCCAATAGGATTTCTACTCTCATGGGGGTCCCAATAGGATTTCGACTCTCATGGGGGTCCTAATGGATCTCGACTCTCATGGGGGTCCCAATAGGATGTTGACTCTCATGGGGGTCCCAATAGGATTCCGACTTTCATTGGGGTCCCAATAGGATTTCGACTCTCATGGGGGTCCCAATAGGATTTTGACTCTCATTGGGGTACCAATAGGATTCCGACTCTCATGGGGGTCCCAATAGAATTTCGACTCTCATTGGGGTCCCAGTAGGATTTCGACTCTCATTGGGGTCCCAATAGGATATCGACTCTCAGGAACAAAAGGATCAATTATCTTCCAAAACTCTAAGCTAAGATGAATGTAAGTCTCAATCGCCCGAATTATTTAATGGCAGCGTGTCGATGTGTATATGTAGTGCACGCCTTTGGACAACGATAATTGCGGAGGCGCCTTCTTTTATGAACACACACGATCTCGCCTGCACACACACACTCTGTACTTGCTAGCCTACGGCACACCACTAGAGCCTTCTAGCAGCGGAGGCGCTGACCGAGACAGCTCACAGAGGCGATCATGCAGCGCGATGTCGAGCGAGATGACAGTTTTCCGTTTCAGTTTTCCTTTATTTGGTATAGCCCTGTGAGCCATTCGGCTCTTGAATTGGCTGCAACCGCGACAAAGAAAAACATGAACAAGAAAACATCTTAAAGTGACTAAGCGCAAACAGAAATATCCAGGAAAAAACTGCAAAGTTTTCCAGAAAAAGCACCGTATATCATTGCTGTGTGCAAACATCCCAGTGGGATGCAAGTCAAACAATAATAACCACAAGACAATTTAGATTAAAGTTATCAGTCTAATTCTGTACTACAACAAACAAACAAATATGGCTAAACCAAAAACTTTTCGAAATCACAAAAAAAGAGCTATAAAAACAATTTAACAGTGATCATAGGAACTGTGATTCAAATGTAACAATACACGATATCAGTGGCGGCTCGTCAATAGAGGGCGCAGGGGCGCCGCCCCCATCAATATTCAAGA